GAACTGAGAAGCTAGGCACCGCCTAGCCTCCTCCAGCACTGACGGGGAAAAGAAGAAAGGAAGCTCGGGGAGCATCCGCCGGAAACGCTGACAAGGATCGCTCGGGTTAAAGACAGCCATGAAAGCTCGTATGTCGTCAAGGGAACACGGCGTGGGTGGCACGCGACTATCGCCACCTACGAGCTGCAGCTGCACCCCTCCGCTCAGTGTATCCAATAATGCATTCCAACAACGGGCTGAGCCGAAATGCATAAATGGCACCTCGCGGAGCTGAGCCATGTGAAGAGTCAAGCGACAATCCTTGGAAACCGCTTGCGAGGCCCGGGTCCGTAACGTCGTCAGCGGGAGTGTAAGAGCGCTTGGCAGAGTGACCGAAGCCGGCCGTGATGCAGTCGAGCTCAGCTGAGAGGGAACTGACGCTACCGGGAGCACACTTGGCGAAGGGGCAGCCGAAAGATATTGGGCACGAGCCAGGTCAGGGGTTGACGCAGGCTGCCGATGCTTGTGGTGTCGATGCTTCTTGTGATGCTTCTTGTGTTTCTTGGATCGCTTCGACCGATGACCGGTAGGACTTGACGAGGCACGACGCTTGCGACGTTGCTGCTTCCCCGAAGCCGACGCAGAGGTAGAAGGCGCCGTCCCGTCACCAGAATCCATCGATGAATGTCGCGAAGAGTTGCGATCACTCGGCGGTAAGGACTCATCACTCATCTCGTCGTCAGAGCCGATGATTGCCGCATGAAGGCTTCTCGCCTTGGCAGAACAACGAGCATCTTCGACCGCCGAGTCGAACCCGGAAGGACAGCTCGCCGAGTTCTCGGATAAAGAAATGGGATCCGAGCGCGACCCAGCGGCAAGACTCGTCGAGCCGGTGGACGGTGCAGAACCGTCGCTAGGCCCTAAAACCTCGTCGTCAGATGCGTCAAGGTCCTCAAGCAGCTGAGCAGTCACCGTGCGAGCCGTCGCAGCAGATCTCTGGATGGGGTGCCCAGACGAAGACGTCAACACCGCCGAGCACGCAGGGAGAGACGGTCTGAGGACACTCACGGCCGGCGTCACTAGGTCAGTCGGTGTAGTGAATACGCTCAGACCCCGAGAGGGCGAGACGTGAGAAGATCGACCAGATGACGACCGGGAGTGCCCAACCACCGTTGATACGACGCTGAGCGGCACACTTGACTGGGGCAACTCAGCTGAGATAGGTGAGGTCGAGCCTGGGGCACAAACACTCGTAGCCGGGACAGGCAGCAAAGCCATGACATCGGAAGAGGACACCGGCGGTGGTTGAGTAGCCACGACTGACGACGTCGACAGAGGACCAGAAGACGGAGAGCCCACCGAAGATGTTGAATCAAACGCAGGAACGGTGTCGTCGGCAGGTTCGGGCATCTCAAACTCGTATTCAGCTTCGCTCGAGGCTTCATCGGCGTCAGAAGGTTCGGGCATCTCAAACGCGTATTCAGCTTCGCTCGAAGCTTCATCGTCGTCTTCAGAGTGAGCAGAGACAGCTGGCTGTGTAGCAGAACTCAACTGAAGGTGACGAACCTTTTTCCGCCGAGTCTGACGACGAGATTTACCAAAGCGGGGCTTTCCTCCATCGGACACGGTAGCGTGAGAAGAAATCGAGCGCAAAAGGGCACTGATAGTCTCATGTCCCTCCTCCTCGGGATGTGGACAAGCGTACGGCTGAGGCGGATGCGGCGGCGGCGAACAATGACGAGGACCTGCAGCAGTTGGAGACTTGGGATTGGCATAGCGCCGAAGCCGCTGCGTCGACGTCAAGTCCGCCAACGGAGTATGATAAAGCTGGGCGACGGTCGGCTCGGGTTGACTCGTAGCCGTCGCTGAGCTGACAGGAGCCGCAGCCGAGTCCGCCGAAAGGGGTCGCAGAAGAAGCCGGACCCGCAGGAGGAGCTACAGTAGGACCAGCAGCAGAACCAGTCACTGAGGCATCTTGGCGAGGATGGACGATCAACCCCAGCCGCCGAGTTTCGCCAGCTGGAATGTGGAGAACTTTAGGGAAGCGAGAATCCAAGACGCGACACAGCCGGGCGTTAAGCCGAAGGTCGGACGGATCAAGTCCAGGAACCTCCAAACCAGCGCCAGCAGCAGCTGCCATGTGAGGGTCGTGCATCGGAATTACACCGTTCCGAGGAATGAGCCGCTCCTGCCGCAAGATCACTGCCCGCTGCTCAGCGATCACCAGCTGAGCGTGCCGCAAGGGTTGAGTGCCGGTTGAGCTGTACAGCTGCACCGATTGCTGCAGCCGCTCGGAATGCTTGAAAGCAATGCCTTGGAGAGTAACGAACGCCGCATCCCTCTCGGAAATAGATCGGAGGAGGACTGCGATCTCGGCGTCTCGATCCAAGACTTGCTGATGATGGAGCTGAGCCTGACTCAACGCAGCTTTAACCTTGCCTTGCTCAGCTTCCATAGCTCGAGCAAGTTTCGCTTTACTCAGGGCTACAGCCTTTCGCAGTGAAGCAAGGAGATTAGCAGACTGCGTGGTAGCAGCCTCCAATCGAGACACCTGTTGTCGCGCCGATGAGAGCTGAGTGGACAAGTCAACATTGCTGAGGGCAAGAGTGTCCAATCGCCGAGTCAACGCGCGGTTCTCTTCTTGAACAGCTTGATTGTCGGCCCTGAGATCGCCAATGATCTGAGAATAATCAAGAGCGGCGTAGTTGCCTTTCAAGATGTCCTACAGTTCCCTCGTGGAAGAAGCCTGCAGGATCGCTCGCCGCTGCACGGGATCAGAAGGTTTCACGGAACGAGTGAATCCGTAGGCTATGAGCCTCGCCAAGAAGGTCAATTCTTCTCAACGTTCGTATGCCTGTTCGGTAACCCTGGTCATGAGGGAGTCAAGACTCACTGGAGCAGCCGAGCTTGACTGACCCCTGGCGCCCGAAATGGCGTCGTCCGGCAAGCTCGGTGGACCAGGAGGGCGCGCGCGAGAAGACTCCGCCGACTCCGCGTCAAACTCATGGGAAGCTGTCAGGTCGATCAACCCAGCTTCATGCCGGTCCCACGAGTACTGGCGGGTCGAGGAATCGACTTAGCTGGCGCGCCTTCACCTCAACGAGGAGTTGGAGGAGAATGATGGCGCCGCGATTCGTGCTGGAGTAACATGCGAGAAGTAGCTAGCTGCCATGTGAGCGACAGCGGAAGCAACAAGTGTACCGAAAAAGGTGGTGGAGAGCCGCGAGACGTCATCAGCCGAGTATGGACCAGCGGTGACAGATCCAAATGAAGGATTAAGACACTCACCAGCTCGGCTCGTATTATAACCGGGGCAGTTGTGGTGTAGGGATTTCCAGATTCGACCATACGCCAGCCTAATTAAGATCAAGAATCGGCTCGGTCTGATAACCCAGAGCTTAGGAACAAATGATCACGGTAAATACTCAGCGATCTGTCCGGGTGATGCTATCCGGATAGCCGCTGAGCTCAGCGGTAGCCTGAACCCAGCGTAATGCTCGGTAGAGATCCGAAACGACTACATTTCACTAGATATATGTATGAGAAGCATAGGATTAAATAGGGGGAGCCGAAAAGGCTCCCAGAAGATAACAGAGCATAATTTGCCTAGTCCAAGACACGTGTTCACTTTTCCGGTAAGTCCCTGCGTAGGGCTGGATTATGCCTGACGTTGATACCCGAGAGGCATAGTTTGTAGGGTATTGACTGGTAGCGCCAAGAGATTAGGTCGGTCCGGGTAGGACAAAGTCTCGCTACGCGCAAAAGAAAGTCCCGCATACTCAGCGGGTCGGTACGTCGGATAGCCCGGGCGCCGTAACACTTCTAGCTGAGCAGCCTCTGCGCTCGATGACCTGTAAAAGCGCTCGCGCGCCGTCGTCCATCCTTTGGATGATGGCACAGGGTTTGTGAACGAGCTCAGCCGAACCAAACTCGGCGGAGCCTCGGAAGTGCTCTGACTTAGTTAGGCGGAACCGATTGGAAGCGAGCCACGCTTCATCATGGAACGAATCGCGAGGGGACCATCCTCTGCGCAGGCCATACAACCGCCGACCTAACTCGGCGATTCGTTGTGGTTTGTGTAAGGAATCCAAATGTGACGATATTTGTGTGTTCTACTACACCACACGCGGCACAGACTTGGATACACTGTGGGGATCGAAAATGTAACGTTGGTTGTGGTGGTCGGTGTACAGGGAGAAACCATCCGGTCGATGCAGCAGATAGTCTGCTATAGGCCTCTTTCTCCACAATGGCCCACCGCTTCTATGAACCACTGAAAGCCCCGCTGAGCATCAACAGTGGCTAATGATCTTGCTCACTTAGCGGTCTCATGGCATGATCCTGCGAAACGTGAGTTATTGCAGCGCCCCAGCGCTCATCACTAGGGTCAGTATACATACATAGAGTCTCTTTGTTGGGTCGGGGTGCGCTAGCTGCAGCCCATGTTGCAGTGCTGCTTTGCAACGACGTAAACAGGCTTCTTGTTCTGGTCTCCAACCAACGTCACTCAACAGCACCTTTCGGATCTGAGTCTTCTTGCGACCGCCTGCTTTTTCATACACTTTCTCCATAAACTTCAGCGGTGGGTCGATCAGTTTATTATATGCGCGGAGTGACGTTCGCATCCAGTTCGGAGCACAAACGAACTGTTGTAGCTCTTGGCCTGTGGTGGGCGGCTGAAGGTTCGTCAGCGCCTCCACGCTAGCTGGATCGTGTCGCACGCCGTCACCGGACAGAATGCGACCGCACCACAGTGCTTCCCGCAAGTAGAACAAGCACTTGTTATGATTCAACTTTAGGGGGCACCTCTTTAGTAAGGCTAACAGGCCCTCATCAGTGTCATTGTTGCCCAGAAGGTCATCAATCCATATCAAAAGTCCATTGTTGAGCACTTCGGAGAACAGATCCGGTACCGTAGATTACTCGTCTTCTAGCTGTAAAAATAATCTATGTTTATTCTTTAACATTACCCTCGTGTGTTCGCACATTTAACTATCATCACAAGAAATCCCCATCAGGAGATGTACGAGTACCTTCGCGACAAACTTGACGGATTTATTACTTTTACTGACCTTGATGCGCCCCCAAGCGTAGATCAAGTTTGTAGGACCCCGATGAGCTCAAATAAACCTGAACTTGTTATCATTGATGACTACAGCAGCGACAAACTACTTCAGAAGAATCTGTTTTCTCACTACTTTACTCGTGGCTGCCATTTCAAATTGAGTACCTTTTTCCTTAGTCATAGCTACTTCGCCACTGACAACATGATTATATTGAATGCAGAGTATGTATCTATTCTAAAAGCTAATTCCAAGCGTGATTTGGTCATGGTTGTGAAGGACTTCAATATACCGGGGGCTGATGAACGTAGTATCGTATACTACTACAACAAAGCCACGGAAAGTAAATTATTTGTGGATTCGGTTAAAGGTCAGCTTCGGTACAGCTTCGATCGCCCTATTACAATCCTTTCGGAATAAATTGAAAATATTCTGATTGAATCAATATACACTAGTAATATGGCTTTGTTTTTTAAGCTTGATTCAACCAATCTTGTCCAAGATGGATACAACTCGACATGGAAGTATAGTTTTCCGGGGTCGGCAGCATATGTTAAGGATGTTGCCTGCGCGGTGCAGTCGATTTCTATGTACAACTCAGAGTATAACATCCTGCGACTCAGTTCTGGAACAATTCGTTCAAGATCGAAGGACCGACCGCAGCTACAATATCCACTATCTCTATAACACTATCGGATGGCTTATACTCGTATGCAGATATCAATCGAAGTATTCAGATAGCTCTCGTAAACGCAGGACCTTTTCTGTGACGTGGTGGTCACTGGCCTGTAGCATGACAGTGACCAGCCAGTGGCTGAGCCACGTCAATTATTTGAGTTCAGCTGGTCAGATTATTCTGATCAGCGTAAACTTAAGATTGCGTGTCTTTACATCAAACTACAACCAAAATCCCATGGATTTGCAACAATCAAGCTTCCAACCAGAAATTGTAATTATGGGACGCTGTGCGAAATTTCCGACCAATACAAGAATTAGGATTCATAGGTTTCCATTGGTAGTTACAGAGAAAATCAGAATTTGAGAAAGATAGGTTTTAGGATGGACCTGGATACGTGCGTGAATATCCGGTCGTTAAGAACTACTGGTTGTGCGGCAGCTACTAGCTTGCCGCCGCCAACTCTAACTGATTCATCACTTCTCAATTTGCTTTCGAGCAGCAACTCCTCTCCTCCCCTACAACTGTCTACGGCGCCGTACTCGCCGTCTACGCTCCTACGCTTCCTCGCTACTTCGTGACATTTTCTAATCAATTCTACTGATAACAATGTGTTTTATATTCAACTAACCGAAAATAGCGTATTTCGCTGCTCAATTTGATTTCAGTGCTACGCCAGCATCGCTCCCGCCTGGATACACTCGATCTACTACTGGTTTATATAGCTCTGGAGGAACGAGATTACCAACTACGACTCGAGTCCCTCGTGTTATTATCGATAATGCTGCGTTTGGCAAGGTAGTTGGGTTGACTAGTGGTACTTACCCTGCCGCACCTACTATAATATCATCTGCACAACTCTCAAATACTATTCCTCAGATTCACCCGAGTTCGAGCTATGTTGTACGCTGTGATATCATTAAGAATCAATACGTAGCTTCGGGCGATATTCTAAGCGCTTTTGATAGAGGCGATGCTCAAGTAGGACAGCTGATATCCTACAAACCGAGTCAACATGCTTGGATGAACTGCTTCGACGGATCTAGATCTTCGATCACTATCTCCATGTATAACCAGAATGATCAAAAGGTTCAATTCAGAGACACTTCAGTATCGAGTTGATTTTCTTAAAAATACAATAGGGCGGAATTAATTTAATCGAAAAGAGCCAGCTACCATCGGTTTCTTACGCTTAGCACGGAGAGCAGCTATTCGATCCTTTACTTCTTGAGAACCCTTTATTAGTTTCTTCCGCTTTTGAATGCCTAGCCTGTAGCGTCGTCTGGCTTCCCCTCGTACTGCTTTAATAAGCGTTTCATGTTCAGGTTTTGTTGCTTTACTAAGAAGATAGTTTCCCCCGACATCGACTGCATCTGTAAGGACACCCTTGCGTTTTGCATATCTAAGCGCATACGCAGCTGCTTTCTTCACGTCAACTACGAAAATACGACCCCCTTCATCTGGGACTTGCTCATTACTATCGTAAATACCAACACCTGTCATAGCCTTAATTGCTGCTCTGACTGGAATAGGGCTCCCAAGATTGTCGCCAAAGCAGGCACTGCTGCGTCCGCTGCTTTCGACAGTAATCCACTGTCTCTCACAAATTTGAATGCTGACGATAATCCCGATTTATTTTTTGCTCCAGATGGATCCACCTTGAGCTCGCTTGTAGTCTTTCTTGATTTCATGTCGGGTAATAACGAGTCGCACGCCTCGTCCTGCTTTACGTGATTTCATAGCCTTCTCCAGCTCCATGGACCGAATCTCCTAAATTACTATACGAACATCACTTCTGCTGTTAATAGCAACATGTGGGTTGAACGTAGAGGTATTACTGAGATTTGAGTGGAAGTATCTCGAATCAGAATGATCTGCTTTGCTAACAAGGTCATAGCCGAGGGCAATGTTGACTTTGGAAGCATTTGTCTGACTCTCAAAAACGTTTTCAAGCTTGTTATAGAGCTTATTACGGTGGATTCCTTCGTATAGGTGTGATTCCATGTGGTTGCCCTTGTAAAAGCGATAGTGAGGTTCAGTCTTATAGTCTGGGGATAAGTTCTTCACTAGTCGCTTGAGACTGATCTTGTACAGCTTCGCTACAAGCTCTACGTTTCTGAGGCACGATAAGTTTCTTACATACATCGTCGTACCGGTCCTACCGCTAACCTTAACTCGGTAGCTGTTTCCCCATTTAATCGCTCGGATATTTAATCGCTTTAGACCTTTAAGCTCGTATGCCGTTTTATATATCGTTCGCTATATTTTTCTTCGTGAAATGACTTTATATTTTCGAGATTTTGTATCAGGATTGACTTTATCCTGGTAGTGCTACGAGTAGTAGTACGTACAACCCAATAGGGGTTAATTCGAGATTATACTGGGAATACCTAAGGAGGTATGGACAGCCCCCAACGGGTTAATTCTACGGTACTGCGTAACGTAACCTCTGTCAACATTCGTACGACATTCAAGTCAACACACAACAGTGAATATCATAACACGCCGGCAGACAACAGCTTCTGAAAGCCAGGACGTCACGCTGTTAATCGGCGATTAACGTTTTTTCCAAGGTGAGTCAGCGGTCCTTAATTTTGACAGGTTTGAGGTACTGGTTGTGTGGGTTTATAGGTGAAACGTGCCAGTGAAGTCGCGGTGGAAGCTCGTCAGTCGCTTCAGCATTTAACGATTTTTCCAAGGTGAGTCAGCGGTCCTTAATTTTGACAGGTTTGAGGTACTGATTGTGTGGATTTATAGGCTAAACGTGCCAGTGAAGTCGCGGTGGAAGCTCATTAGAAACAGGAATTCACCCACGCCAGTCGCTTCAACATCATGTGCCTCGTGTATAGAAGTACCTTTGTTGGACAGGTAGGTCAACAGACCGCTTGATGTGGCCGTCCTGGCTAACGTGACCTGTTATTTTGATTGAACTATAGAAAGAAGCACTTTCGCATTCTGAAGCTACAGACCACCAGCAGTTTGGTGAGGTTAAACCGTCAGCTACGCACTGATGAGCTGTAAAATTGCTGTGAAATTCCGCACTTGGAAAAATCTTACGGGTCACATTAAAATTGTTCTCTTTCACTACCAGCCATCCCTATTGACAGCTCTGTCCCAAAAAATCAGATTCAGTTGATCGACTGACTGTAAATGACGTAAACTGATCAGATTTCGTTGAACTGTCGTGTCTTATTGTTTTTGCCACAATGGTGACGCGACCTAGATCTTCGTTTGATGACGATCAACCGAGAGGAGACCCAGCTGAAAGGAAGCAGCAGCGTAAGGCAGCTTATATGCGTGAATATCGGGCGACAAAGGCTAGATCAACGCCAGACTCAATCAGAGCACGTGAAAGGGAGCGAAAACGAGCAGGATATATGCGGCGTTATCGTGCGGCGAAATACAACGCCGACAGCGTTGCTTCTGAATCGAAACATGAGGAGTGTGCTGCAGACAATGGCTTAAGTACCGATGATCGCTTGAAACTGTTGGCAGAATCAATTCTTCAGAAAAGCAACATTTCGGAGGAAGAAATTGAATTGATGGCATCGGGATAGAATTTCTCTTCCGATCCGAGGTTAGCGTTAGTGTACTACTATTGCTGAGCTGGCCACCCCGGAGCATTCGTCTTTAACGATGAAAGTATTCGTGAAAATGGAGTTGTGACGGATAGACTACTTAATTCGTTGGATACGTGACACGGATTTACCTGGCCAATCAGAAAACGATTCTGATGTTGTCAAAGTAGAGACCACTCCAAGTTCCCCCGTGGCTTCCAGAAAAAAAATCGAAGAGAGATTCTGCTGCTATTACGAAATCGGACTGCATGAATGGTACACCTGATGTCCACAACGAGAAGCCCAAGCCAGCTTGAAGGGGTTTTCGTCAGTCTATCTACCAGTGGTTGCGTGCACTCAAAAGAACTACCAAGCCAGCTTGAAGAGTTTTTCGTCAGTCTATCTACTAGTGGTTGCGAGCACTCAAAGGATTTAACCGGCCAAAACTCAATTTTGTCCACAAAACTCAGTTTTAGCTGCGACCAAAACACAATCTACTCAAAAATAATACTATCAAAAAATATTTCGTATTCCCAGCGTAGTCATAGACGTCCTAGTGTGAGCACACCAATTTTAGGTATCGATTCGATACAAATTTCAAATGAGAAAGTTTTATTTTTCTACCAATTTGAGCTTCACAGGTTTCACTTATAAGGTTTGGTATGGGTATAAACTTATAGAAACTTGGTGTACGAAAGAAAATATTGCTTACTTTACAAATGCTTGGAGATGTTTGTTTTTCGAAAATTTACTTTTTCAGTGTTTCTTACACGGCTAGGTGTTGTGCAAGAATATCACTATTATCGTATTTGTAGATCTTAATAGCTATAAAGAGGTCTGTAAACAAAGCTGTCGAGTTCCACAGCGGCATTATCCGTCCACCTCTAGCCCTTGTTCGGTAGAAGCTGCAGTGGTTTCAATGCCTTGCTGCTGCCACTTGACGCAGCATCGAGACTCTGAGGATCCTGGACATGGTGATTTTGGAGCGCTCTGTATTTTTCGCGAAGTGATAAGTCCGCTCGTATGTGTCGTTAGACCGTATTAGGCCAGCCGCCGCGGGCGTCACTACGGTAGTGGTGGACTCGACCGGCCCAAAACTTCCCCGAGCAGAGCGGAGATAAGTAAATAAGTGGACAATAAGTAGACGAGCAGAAGAGTAGAGTATCATGTAGGTAGAGCAAAGATAACCGCAGCAGCTCACTCAACGCCGCGGCGACGAAATATAGTGCCCTCGGGCGGTGGTCGCCGCAGCTGGTGAGCTCGCTGAGAAATTGTGGTTGTGAGCTTTTGAAAGAAACAATCTTTCCGGTGATAGAAAATGATAACCTCACTCAAATCGTATTAACTTCTTAAACAGATTTACAAATTATGGATGTGCTGGAGTTTAGTGTGGTAATGTATCTTATCTGTATATGATTGTTAACTTACGGTAAAATTCAACCGATTTACAAGTGATCGAGTCCAGTTTTGAAAATAAGGTGTTCAAATCTGCAAAATGTAAAGCAGCAAGAAGAAAAAAACACTCAGGACAACGAATCCCTCACGGCTGATTGGAAATAACTGCAAATGTGTAAGTTTTCATTAAAAGTAGCGCGGTAAGGGAGGTGCGAAGCCTTTGGCTTTGCTACTAGCGCTGCGCAGCAGTACTACAAGCCCAACCCTCTAGTATCGTAGCCATCAAGAGTTTCCGAAATTAATTAATTGCCATACCCTTCTAACGAGTTTCACTCGTATGAATGCTATTGGGGTAGGGCTTTCAAGTGTGTCCATCCCATTCGCTAAAACAATCAATTATTAAATAGGTAAGCTCGGTTTCAGTGCTAAGTTCGTTGTTGCTTTGATTTGCAGGCACGAATGTGCTCTCTATTCTTATGTGCTTCGCGCGTGTGCTGGTAGTAGCTCTTTTGCGCCGCATTGATGCGCTCCTAGTGAGCTTGGTATTGCTCAGGTGAGTACGCCATCCTTGTATATTACTTACTTTATTATCAGGTCAAATAGCAAAGAATTAAAAGTTGCACGACTCAATAACATTATCATTACTTCTTTTGTTCTTGTGCTACGTGAGCCTTGTTGTGGTTGAGTTTGTCGGTGAGCTTCATCAGCGGGAAGTAGTGAAGATAGCTCGGTCAAATTTTGTCGCTGAAGTCCAGCGGTAGAAGCCTGCTCGACCAATTCTTGCTGCTGAACCTCAGCTGCATGATAGGTCATTGTTCGCTGTTGAGCTTGTAACGGTGTAACGTTCTTCGCTTCATCGATCATGTCGTTGAGCGTTGCTTTCCAATATTGCGAAAATGACAGACTCACCCCTAGCGCAATGACAACACCAATCATCCAGCACACGATACGCGATCGGCCAGGAGCGATTAGACATCCTTTTTCGTCTGTTGGATTTTCTCCAAAGGCCAAAACAATGATTGTAATGATCGCCAAAATGACAGGTACGAAGCATTGTACGTTGATGATCCATCGTCTGTACCCTGCTCTGAAGATAAATTAGCAACAGCGTCTCCAAATAGGGTGAGAGTACGTACGCTTATATTTCACCGCTCTGAAACCGGTTTCGCCAATGTCAACGCCAACATGACTTTGTACCACCACCAGCACGTTCACAGGGCCTCCCCCTTCTGCTTCTTCTCCTCCATCCACTCCGCCAACTTCCGTATCCGACAAATTCACAAGCCGTAGCCTCGCTCGCGCCACTCCCAGTGGCTTCAACTCACTCGTGTCGCTAACACCTTCCATCACGTCTTTCTCCGCCAGCCACGCCCCGTCGCCTTTCTCCTTCTTCGCCAGGAAGAGCTGCAGCTTCGGCCAAGGATCCGTGATTAACCCATCGCTCTGATCCTTGATCGCCTTCTTCAGGTCATCCACTGAGTCGCTCTCGTCCACTTGCACGGAGAAAACGCTACCCGCCACACCAACAATCGCACAGAAAAGCTTCATCTTTCCTCCGACCGGCGAATTCTGGAATGAGGAAGAAGAGAATTTCTGTTCGTATTTAAGCGGAAGTCACATAGACTTCCAAATTGGTGAAAGGCCACTTTGTCGAGCGATTGAATGGTGCCGGCGTAAATTACGCCGGCATTTTTTCTTATTACGCCGTAATGTGCTGCGCTCAGCGGGTGATTTTCACTTCGAATGAATCCTCCTTTGCCTGCTCCGATCCACCTCTTATCTGTCAGAACCTCTCCACTGCAATGCAAGCGTCTCCTGCGTATCGCGTGCCATCAATCACGTACAGTACCATTGAGCGCCACCGTGTCGCACGGTTTGTGGACTAATACGGTGAACCTCCATGCGCGCGTTCCTGAAACTCCGCAACCACGTGATGGTGCCGATCTCCTTCGGCGTCCCAACGGATGACGACGAATGACCTGTAGATACTCACGGTTACCCACTGGGTAAACACGCGGAGTGACTGCGTCGCCGCTTGAGAGGAAGACTGACCACCAAAGTTCGCCGCGCAAGACCTACAGGAGCTCGATTTTGACTTCGACCGCAGCCAATACATGTGGCGGAGAAGCTAAATGGCCTGAGAGACTGTGGGGGTATTATCTCGGCCCGCGGGACTTTAATATTCGCCACCGAGGAGACTTCTAGATACGGATCCAAAGGGACGTCCAACTTGGACTCCAAGAGATGGCGGATACCAACTCCTGCTATTGTACGACTCAACTATGTACGATCGTGACTGGCGCGAACGTACCGGTACGTGTTTTACCGTCGCTGGCAGCGACGCTGCAGGTCTTTCGTCAGGAATTCGGACACTGTGATGTGCACAGGTGCCGGATTGTCTGCCGTGGCCTAAAGCAGCTTTAGTAAAGCTGCTGCGGGAATGCCGCTCGGACTCCGAGTCGGAGGAGGCACTGTCAATAACATTCGGAGTACGAGACGAGGCTGAATTAAAAAAGTGGAGTTTGTCTGGGATCATTCCTTCACGGAATGGAACGATCGCGTCTTCCCGGCATTGAAGACATTCAAACGTAAGACAGGTCATTGCCATGTCAGGAAAGACTTTGTAGTGCCGTCTACAGACTCGTGGCCTGTTAAATCGCACGGCCTCAAACTCGGCATAGTCATCAGCAACATTTGCGCGTACTCGTACATGTACTATCTTTACTACTTCCTCTGTCCGAAAATATAAGCGGGGCATCTGTTTAAACCGTGTCCGAAAATAAAAGCGGCATGCTTACAAATTCAAGTCATTTGATAGTACTGTCGGATTCCACCTAAGTACGCCCATACAAATGCTGTTGTTGTTGTCGGCCGCTGCAAACCAGACCGTAGAAATATTTAGGCGCTCTACGTGGCACCGTTCAACAGAGAATCATACGCGCTACATCTCACTGGAGGCACTGTCAATAACATTCGGAGTACGAGACGAGGCTGAATTAAAAAAGTGGAGTTTGTCTGGGATCATTCCTTCACGGAATGGAACGATCGCGTCTTCCCGGCATTGAAGACATTCAAACGTAAGACAGGTCATTGCCATGTCAGGAAAGACTTTGTAGTGCCGTCTACAGACTCGTGGCCTGTTAAATCGCACGGCCTCAAACTCGGCATAGTCATCAGCAACATTCGCGCGTACTCGTACATGTACTATTTTTACTACTTCCTCTGTCCGAAAATATAAGCGGATAGTACATGTAGTGAGCTCACCGTTACACTCCGCGCCACATTAGATCACGAACCCACGTCGGTGGCTGTAGCTGACTCAATTTTTAGAGTTTGGGCGTGCTGTTTAGGTATGTTAGATCGTCGATGGCTGTAGCTGACTCAATTTTTAGAGTTTGGGCGTGCTATTTAGATATGTTGCTCTTATTATCGCACAGAATAGGCTACACGTGCTAACTTTTGCAGGGCTCCAATACAAACAATTGATTTTAGCACTGCGACACAATTATCACGCACGCCTTAGTATACTGAACTCGAGTACTATGTATCGTAATGATAGTGTCAAGTGAACATGAACGTATCAACATTGTATGGGGTGGGAGGTCGTGACCGACGAGCGGGCCAACTGTGGCTAATGGTGACAGCTCGGCAGACACTGGGGCTCTGAATGAGATTATACACCCATTAACCTGCATATATATACCTAACATGTTGCCCATATGAAGCCGTGGTGGTTCCCACGAGCCTGGGAATGCTCTCTGCTCTTATCGCCCACCCCATACATGTACAATGTTGATACGTTCATGTTCGCTTGACGCTATCATTACGATACATATTACTTGAGTTCAGTATACTAAGGCGTGCGTGATAATTGTGTCGCAGTGCCAAAATCAATTGTTTGTATTGGAGCCTGCAAAATCGCAATCGTTAGCCTATTCTGTGCGATAATAGAAACAAAAAAAATATCTAAATAGTACGCCCAAACTCTAACAATTGAGTGAGCTACAGCCACCGACGTGGATGCGTGATCTAATGTGGCGAGGAGTGTATCTCTGCGATATTTGCGTACCGGTATCGCTATCTGGGGTTTTCCACGATGAGATAACGATATGTGTTTTGATTGGTTAAAATATATTCTCCATCCGGATTGGTTAACACTAGCCGAGCGTTGAATATTTAATAAAAATATTCAAGCTGTAGCATTTTTTTATGCCTTGAAGTGTGTTCATTTTGTGCTGATTCAGAATTAGTCATTAGACACTCCAATCTGTGCCTGTTATGGTTATAGCCTTTGAATATAACCATGCGTCGCAAGACGCCTTGCTGTTGTTGTTGTTGACGGCGGTATTTTTATTTGATACTTAATTGATGATTCCAAAATGGTTAAACGTAGATTAGGCTCTAAGTTGATTAACGTTTCTTCACGGGCCTACTTATAATAACCATAATTGACACCTCTCATGTTGTGCTGTTATCTTACCACTGCATATAAAACCTTATTCTACGCCCTTGTCGGCAACGCGTCTACCTATTAAGAAGTATCAGAATTTGGTTGTTTTAAAAAACGCTAAGGAAACAATGGTCAAGTTCAATTCGCTTACAGTAGTAATTGTCATCAGCACATATAACTTCTTTTTGTTCACACGTCAATCTAACACTATATATCTTTGTGGATCAAGTGACAACGTTTATAAGCACAGTTTTGTTCTTACGGCCAGTCTACACGACCGGCTACTGCTGTACATGTAACATGTACGATTTAGCAATACCAGAAACCCACTCAGATAACTTATTAATGCTAATATTTTTGCAGTAAAAAAATGAAATTTCATTTTAGTCAGTGTAACACACAGATCCTACTGAGTACAGAGTATTTAGTATACTTAAACCATGTCGTCGGAAACACGCATGCTTACGTGTACGCTAAGCACCCTGCCCTCCGTTTACTATAGTATTCAAATATCAATAACAACATGCATTATGAAAAAGTATTTAATATTTAAACGATGCCGCCTTCGGATATTAATAATGTATAGCCTTGTGCATGCATTTATTGATGTCAACTACACATTCTAGTTTTAACCAATTGAAGCCACCTTCGCTGCGCTCGGCAGCCAGTAGAAATATTTAAATTATTTTATCCAACGATTTGTCCGGAAAAGCGTGACAGGCACGACAATTTAGTGTGACGGACAGACAGGTTGCTGCAGTAGATGTTTAAGATAGTGTTGTTGACCAGTCACGAACGACTCGTGCTTCACGCGTCCACGTACACCGGCTACGATGTGAAGTTGAGGCAAACCACATGAACCAACTGGCCTGTGTTGCCTCGGCGGCGCCTAAGTGCATCCTAAGTCACGGCAACAACTTCTACTAGACAGGCATCCGTATACAATTTTCGGGTCCGAGGCTAGGCAGTCTCCACGTCGCGGGTACGTCTAGGCTGGTAGCTAGGGACTGTATCATGATTTTCTTCCTTGCTCGGCTAATTGCTGTTTTGTAGACTTCGATTCACTCCTCCAAAAGCACTCCACTTCAACCCAGACAGCTCCAAATAATTCGAAATAGTCAGTAAGAAGGCTGCGATCACCGCCGTGGACGGCATTCTGGCCAAAACCAGCGTCAGCGTCGGAGTTCTGGTGCACGTAAGTCCAGCAACCCAGCTAGCGAGCACCTCCATCTCTGGACCTGACGCAATAAGCACCAGCAGAGATTAGTGTAATGTATCTTCGTAATCTTTTTTCTGCTGGAAAAACTAACAAGCTCAACAACTCCCAGCAGCTCTTCCTCCAGCTTGATCACTTCCGACCCAACCGATGGTGAGTTTTTACCTGACAGTTTATATTAGTGAGGCAGGGCCAGGTGAGAACGCTGACGGTAATGATGTATTTTCTAACAGCCAAGCTTACTTTGTCGGCCTTTACTGTTGGTCATCCGGTAGTACCCACGATATCATAAGCTAGAATTCGGAATCCCAAGCTATCGGTAATCAAGCACGTGTTCATGAGTGATTTTGGGGTAGGCACATCAAACAAGAGTATGTAGAGTGTGGGGTAGAATAGAAATTATTTATTCGGCTGGTAAACTGGCAATTCGACTGCGATGTTTTAGCGATTGCAGCTATAATAATGCTTTTGAAGTTTATGGAGTACTTGTATTTTAAATATTGCCGGACTTGAGACTCACACTCGTCTTTCAGCAAAAATACGGCAACACGGATCGGTTCTTCCACATACGCGTCCATCCCATCACTAAATACGTCTGTCAGGCAAGCTACGTTTTGCCTCGTTGTACCGGACTGGGTCATTGAATAGTTTTCTACCTGCGCAGCCTCGTTGTCACTGGATTTGTTTGTATTCATCTCTTTTGCCATCTCAAAAACGGCAGCTTTGAGTCGAGCTACAGCAACTGTAGATTCGCCATGACTTGCCCGCGCAACACAAATGCGTGTACTACTATATCCAGAGCTCTATGACCATCCTGAGCTCAGAGGCCCCGAAAGACATTCCCCGAAACCACATCGTTGAAATTTGCGGCAGCAATGGATC